ACATTCTACCTGTATCTATCTTTTCATAGGTTGGTCTGTCTACCCCATGAGACTAAGAGCTTTTTAAAGCAGGCCACATATCTTAATTCTCTTTGCATGCCTGGTTTCTAGCAGTAACAAGGACAGAGCAGAGTGTCAGTATGATAGGTTGGAAGGAGGATAAAATCATCTCAGGTATCACCACCTACCCAGATGAAAGCTTGGTACACAGTTCATGACTCCAGTGCCTTCTCTGCACCTCCCACTGCCAATCACAGGCCAGACCTTCATTATTTGCACCCAGGATTAGCGTTACAACCTCCTTGCCTCTTTGTCTTTGGCCCTCACACTGATCTCCCACATTAATTCCTTCCTTCAACAAATACCTAGTGAGTATTTACTAAATGCTCTCTGTTCTAGGCACTGAAACAAAATCCCTGTCCTCATGGAGCTTATGTTCTAGGAGGGGGAAACATAGCCACCAAGTGAACCATTTGCATGTAGCTCTGACCATGTCACTCTCTTTAAAACCTTCACTAGCCATGTGTGGTGGCTTGTGCCTATAATCCTAACTACTTAAGAGGCGGTGGCAAGAGAATCATTTGAGCCTGGGAGTTTGAGACCAGCCTGCGCAACATAGTGAGACTCTGTCTCTTTAAAAAACCCTTCACTAGCTCCCCATTATTTACAGTCTAAAGTACCTGAACGTGGTATTTAAGATTTTCTGTGACCCAGCCCTTAGGTATTCTAGTTTTATCTCTTGTATTTTGTGCTCTAGCAATACTGAAATGCCTACACTGTTTTTTCTCCCTGCTCCTGCCCCAACTTTGCTTTTGCTGTCCCCTTTGCTGGAATGCCCTACCCTCTCTTTTTTTACTTGATTAACTCCTATTCCTTTTTTAAGATTCAGCTGAGACAGCACACCGCCTGGGAAGCTGTCCTTCTCATCCCCTAGGTGAGATGTGTCTTGTGTGTCATGCTCCCTTAATAATATACTGTGCACACTCTCTCACTGCATTTCTACACTGCCTTATCATGGTTTGTTTCTGTATCTTGTTGTTCCTTTCAGGGCGTGCTCTCAGTGGGTACAAACTGTCTATTCATCTTTATGACTCCAGGAACCTCGAGAACTTCCTCCAGTGTATGGCACATACTAGGCCCTCAATAAATATTTGTAGAATTAAGGATTGTTACTTGTACATGCCATTCTCATTTATGCCCAGACCACTCTGCTGCACTCCATTCTTAGGACCAACTGCTTACCAGGCATCTTTCTATCTCTCAGGTACCTCAAAGACACCATGACCAATGACGACATCATTATCACCCCCTGAAATCCACTCTTCCTCCTGTGTTCTTAACATCATTTCTCAGGCTGGCAATCTAACAGTCAATTTTGGTTATTCTGTCTTCCTCTCCTGGATAATTCTACTTCATAAATCCTCCCTTTGGCCCCTCCTTCTTATTTCCTCTGCCATTGCCCTCATTATCGACCCCCTGGCTGACTGTACCAGTCTTCCTGCCTCTAGTCTCACCCCCTGGATTTCATCCTCCACACTGCTGCCAGGGTTATTTTTGTCAAAGAAAAATCTGCTTGTGTCACTTCCCTGCTTAATGATCTTTTCTAGCTTCCCACTGCCTTCAGGACAAAGTCCAAACACTTTAGTATGTTACGCAAGGTCCTTAAGGATTCAGCCCTCTTCTAAGTTTCCAGCCTCATCTCTTGCCACTCACTCATACAAACTTTCTGCCTCAGTCATGCTGAATTCTTGACAGCTCTCAACACAAGTCTTGTTCTCTCATGCCTTCCTACCTTTGCATGTTCATTTCCCTTTTCCTCATCCTTTTCCTCTGCATCTGCCAGGCTAATGCTTCCTGGCCTCTTATGACTCAGCTAAAGTACCACCACAGCCTGAATACTTCAGAAAGGCCTGCTCTAAACTCAGCACTTCCCCACAGCCCAGTTGAGTTTAGCATCTTTGTTTATATGCTTTCCTAGTACTCTGTGGTGATTACAACCATGAATTACATTATGCTAGAATGCTAGTTTGTCAGTCTCAGTTGAGCATGAACTTCCTGAAGCCTGGGACCATGTCAATGTGGTCTTTCTCTATCTCCAGTGCCTAGCATCATTTACAGGAACACAGTAAAAACTCAATGATAAAACAAATATTTAAATACATGAATGAATGCCTTCTTGACTTTGCAAATGCTGATCTGTTTGCCTGGCATACTCTGTCTGGTAATATCCTAGGTCACTATTGTATCTCTAGCATCTAGCAGAGTGCCTGACATATAGCATGTACTAAATACATGCTAAATGAATGAATGATAAAAAGCTGGAGTACCACCTTTCTGACCTCTTTTTTTTTTTTTTTTGAGATGGAATTTTGCTTTTGTTGCCCAGGCTAGAGTGCAATGACTCAGTCGGCTCACTGCAACCTCCACCATTCAGGTTCAAGTGATTCTTCTGCCTCAGCCTCCTGAGTAGCTGGGATTACATGTGTGCACCACCACGCCAGGCTAATTTTTATAATTTTAGTAGACATGGGGTTTCACCATGTTAGGCAGGCTGGTCTCAAACTCTTGACCTCAGGTTATCCACCCACATCAGCCTCCCAAAGTATTGGGTTTACAGGTGTGAGCCACTGCGCCTGGCCCACTTTTCTGACCTCTTAGCCCTAGGTACAGCTGGTTGGTCTGTACCCCATTTCTACAGCATTTTGTACCTCCTTCTCTTTTTCCTAGAACACTTGTACTGTTCAAATGGCTGTTTGCTAGACTGACAGCTCCTTGAGGGCAGAATTTTGTCTACTCATTTCTATCTCAACCCCTTAGCACAGTGCCAGACCTACAAGAGATGCTCAGAAAGCATTTGTTGAATGAACAAATGGATGAATGAGAAGATATGACTCAAGGGAATGTCTAGAAATATCTGAATGGCTGTCATGAGACTGAGAAATTAGACTAATATGTGTGCAGGAGCCAGAAGAAGTAGAAAGAGCAGTGGCATTGTTTTATCTCAATGAATCTCAATGAATTTTGTTAATTTTTAAAATGGCCTGAGTATCAAATGGGCTTCCCCAGGGAAAAATGAGCTTCCTGTGGTAAGAAGTGAGCAATCAGAAGCTGAAGAGTGCTTGGCAGTGATGAAGGAGAGGGAATCTCTGCAGCAGATAGGGTGGGGAAGGTGGGGTAATGGCTGGGGATAATGGTGGTGGTGATGGTATATGACCCCTGGGCTTCCTTCTGGAGGAAGCATTCATTAACATGCTCTCCTCAGAGGTGCCCAAAGCTGGGACACTGCTTCTCTACCAACCAGGCCATTCTTATCCAGCCTGGGCACATTTGGTTACTCACTATTTTTCCTCAGGGGGTGGAACCACCTTACTCATGTTCTTATCTTTAATAACTAGTAAGATATCTGGCACATAGCAGGAATTTAATAACTGTTTGCTGAAGTATATCTATCTAGGTATCTAAACCCATTCTCCTCTTTGCCTCAATAAACATTTGTTGAATGAAGTTAATTTAAATTCTACTATGTGACAAGGTGTAGCTCATGCCATTCTTTAATTATTTACCTGGTATCTGTTATATACCACAAGCAAGGCCATGTGCTAGGCATTGGGAGCAAGAAAGCAATAAGGACTCTGTCTTCCAGGAGTTTACCGTATAGCAGGAGGAAAAAGCTATGAACACAATAAATGTAGCACAGATTAAAAAGTACCTAACATAGTGCCTGTTATGTAGTAAATACCTGTGAAAGGCTGAATAGTGCCTCTTAAAGATATTCATGCCTTAATCCCTGGAACCTATGAATGTTACATTATATGGCAAAAGTGACTTTGCAGATATGATTAAGTTAAGGATATTGAGATGAGAGAGATTAGCTTGCATTATGTGGGTGGGCCCCAAATGTAATCACAAGTGTTTTTTTTGAAGGAGGCAGAGGGAGATTTGACATGGAAGAGAAGGAAGCTATATGATAGAAGCATAAGAGAGAGAAAAGAAGCTAGGTTGCTAGCTTTGAAGTCGGAGGAAGGGGCTATGAGCAATGAATATAGCTTTCGACCCAAGGAAAAAGCAAGAAAACAGATTTTTCCCTAGAGCCTCCAGAAGAAATGTAGCCCTGCCCAAACCTTGATTTTAGCCTTGTAAGACTCATTTCTGACTACTGGCCCAGAACTGTAAGATAATAAGTTCCTATTGTTTTAAGCTACTAAATTTGTAGAAGTTTGTTACAGCAGCAATAAGAAACTAATACAGTACTCAATAAGCATTTGTGAATAAGTGGATTTTTTTACATTCCATAAAACAGGTAAAGATGCAGGGATTCCCTACTGATAAGGTTTGGCTCTGTGGCCCCACACAAATCTCATGTGGAATTGTATTCCCCAGTGTTGGTTGGGGGCAGGACCTGGTGGGAGGTGATTAGATCATGGGGGTGGATTTCCCCCTTGCTGTTTTCATAATAGTGAGTGAGTTCTCATGAGATCTGGTTGTTTGAAGGTATGTTTCACTTCCCCCTTCTCTCTCTTCTGCCTCCATGGTAAGACATGCTTGCTTCCTCTTTGTCCTTCTGCTAAGACTGTAAGTTTCCTGAGGCCTCCCAGTAATGGAGACCAATTAAACCTTTTTTCTTCATAAATTACCCAGTCTCAGGTAGTTCTTTATAACAGTATGAAAATGGACTAATATACCTACCCAGTGGAAAACAGCCTAAAAGCTTTGAAAATGCTCCAAGGAGCCACAGCTTACTTTCCTCTTGACTAGGTCACCTTGGAGATCAATAGTACAGTTTACTGTCTACCTTCCATGGGCTGAGAGTTATTAGCCTTCTATTGCCACTTTGGAAATCTACTTGGGAGGGTACTTCTAGAGCCCTCAGTTGCCTGAAATGCCATACCATGCAGCTCCAAACCTGAGATATAGAAATAAGATATAGCTTCCTTCTCACTGAATTGTAATAGCAATTATAATCTGTCTTAAATTGCTGAATGCTCATATGCTATTTTATGTTTTTTTTTTTTTTTTTTTTTTGGTTACAGCATACATCTCAGTCTTATCTCTTTAATCTCTCTTAAGGTCCTTAAGGGCAGAAACCATTATGTATATATTTGGATTTTCAATGACACTACACATTCTCTGAGGGCCTCAGGAAATACTTATTACTGATAATCAAGCCTTGAGAATGGGAATTAGGAGAATGTTATCTTATGCTTCCTTTTCCAGACCACAAGTAGTTAGCTGACTCTCTGTCTGTCTGTCTGTCTGTCTATCTGTCTGTCTACCTACCTACCTACTTACCCTCTAATCAATCAGTCATTAATTGGTATCTATCTATCTATCTACCTATCTACCTATCTACCTACCTACCTACATATATACATACATACCCTCTAATCAATCAACCATTAATTGGTATCTTACCATGGGCCAGGCTTATACTTATTACAGTCAGTGGATACAGAAGTATAAAAACACTTGGTTTCTGCCTTCAATGGCAGAAGACTGATAAACTAATACATTACAACATAACATGATATGCTAGAGGCAAAACCAAACACTATTAAAACAGAGGCAAGAGCAATTAATTCTGTCTATGGGAGTCAGGAAGAATACTGTGAAGGTGACAATTAAGCCGTTCCTTGAAGGAGTAGCAGTTTTCCAGGAGGAAAAGTGTAGGGCATTCTAGACAGAGGAAAAGTGTGGGAAGGCTCAGGGGAATTATGAACTGAAGAATCGGCCACAGCAAGGAATTACTGGTGATGAGGCTAGAAGGGTAGGTTAAAGCCAGACTTTTAAAGCCATGCTTGGATTGTCTGGACTTATATTTTGTATGTGAAGGGTAACCAATGGATCTAATTTCTATTTCATGTGAAAAGAACCCCCAATAGAAAATTTGCTCTTCAAACAGGATGTTTTAACTGTGGAATTACTATATAAAATCTATACTATCTAAAGAAGTAAAACAATGATTAGAATATGTTTTCCGAAAAGTGTTCAATTTGGAGGGATACTTGACCCAATTTCTCAGTTTCCCTATCCATTTCCCCAGTTTCCTTATCAATTCTTCCACTGAACAGAAAAATAGAATGGTGATTATTCAGAAAATATTTATTTTCTGGTCACTAATATGCATAATGAGTCTACTGTAAGACCTACTAGTTTTAATTCTTCTTCTTTAAGAAGAAAACAGCTTTTTTGTTGATCTATCACAATCTATTTTAGAACATTTTTATCACCCAAAAAGAAACCCTGCATGCATTAACAATAACTACTCCCCATTTCTCCTGAACCCCCATCTCCCAGGTTCTGGCAAACCACTAATCTACATTATGTTTCTATAGATGTACCTGTTCTGGATATTTCATACAAATGGAATATATAATTTATGGTCTTTTGTGACTAGCTTCTTTAACTTAGCATAATGTTTCAAGATTCATCCATGTTGTAGCATTTATCAGTATTTCATTTCTTTATTATGAAATAATATCCCATTGTATGGATATACCACATGTTGCTTTTTCAGTTCAACAATTGATGCACATTTGTGTTGTTTCCACTTTTAGGCTATAGTGAATAATGTGGCAGTTAACATTTTGACATGGAAGAGAAGGAAGCTATGTGATGGAAGCATAAGAGAGAGAAAAGAAGCTAGGTTGCTAACTTTGAAGTTGGAGGAAGGGGCTATGAGCAATGAATATAGCTTTCGACCCAAGGAAAAAGCAAGGAAACAGATTTTTCCCTAGAGCCTCCAGAAGAAACATAGCCCTGCCCAAACCTTGACTTTAGCCCTGTAAGACTCATTTCCAACTACTGGCTTTCAGAACTGTAAGATAATAAGTTCCTGTTGTTTTAAGCTACTAAATGTTTAGAAGTTTTTTATAGCAGCAATAGGAAACTAATACAGTACTCAATACACATTTGTGAATAAATGGATTTGTTTTACATTCCATAAAACAGATAAAGATATAGGATTTCCTACTGATATGGTTTGGCTCTGTGACCCCATGCAAATCTCATGTGGAATTGTATTTCCCAAAGTTGTGGTGGGGGGGAACCTGGTGGGAGGTGATTGGATCACAGGGGTGGATTTCCCCCTTGCTGTTCCCATAATAGTGAGTGAATTCTCATGAGATCTAGTTGTTTTCTATATATAAGATCATGTCATCTGCCAATAGACACAGTTATATAATAATTATATACCATGACCAAATAGGACTTATCCCAAGAATGCAGGTTTGGTTTAACATCAAAAAATCAATGTAATATGCCATATTACTAGGATAAAGGATGAAAACCTCATCAGCATTTCAATAGACTCAGAAAAACCATTTGACAAAATCCAACACCTTTTTCACAATATAAACACTAGGAATAGGGAACTTCCTCATCCAGATAAAGGCTACCTACAAACATTCACAGGAAACATCCTACTACATGGTGAAAGACTAGATGCTTTCCTTATAAGATCAGAAACAGAAGAGGATGCCCACTTTCACCACTTCTATTCAACATTATATTGGAGGTTCTAACCAGGGCAATTAGGCAAGAAAAAGAAAGGAAAAAAGGCAACCAAAGTACAAAGGAAGAAGTAAAACTGTGTTTGTTGGCAGATAACATGATCTTGTATATAGAAAATCCCAAGGAGTCTACTAAAAAACTATTACTTCTAACAGTTACAGTTCAGCAAGATTGCACAATATAAAATCAAAATACAAAAATCAATTGCATTTCTATATAGTAGCAATTAACTAACCAAAAATGAAAGTCAGAAAATCCTACTTATAATGGCATCAAAAGAATAAAATATATAGTAATATATTTTTGAGACCAAGTCTCATTTTGTTGCCCAGGTTGGAGTACAGTAGCATGATATTGGCTCACTGCAATCTCTTGCCTCCTGGGTTCAAGCAATTCTTGTGCCTCAGCCTCCCAAATAGTTGGGACTATAGGTGCACATCACCATGCCTGGCTAATTTTTGTATTATCAGTAGAGCCAGGGTTTCGTCATGTTGGCCAGGCTAGTCTTGAACTCCTGACCTCAAGTGATCCTCCTGCCTCGGCCTCGCAAAGTGCTGGGATTACAGGCATGAGCCATTGCACCCGGCCCCTAGCAATAAATTTAACAAAAGAAGTGCAAGACTTGTATACTAAAAATTATAAAGCATTGTTGAGAGAAATTAAAGATGATCTAAATAAATGGAAAGAAGTTATGATTCTTGAAATGTACATTTTCAAAGGGTGTGTCCTAGTAGAATTATGGATGGTAGTTCCAGTACTTGATATATACTGATAGTTCCAGTACTTGATATATGCTGATTATTAAATGGAAAGATAGAGAAAACAGCTGATGCTTTTTCTGATGTGGGAAGATGCCCTTTAGAAATTTATTACTTCATACATTTTGGGTGTTTAACTGCAATTAGCTAGAAGCTCTGAAATATCTTTTTATAATTTTCTCCACCATTTCTACAGAGCTGCAGTTGTTGGAACTTCTGTAATTTTCCATGGTTGGTTGGCAGGTCACGACAAGGGTCATTTTTCTAGCTGTAACTTTGGCATTTTAAGAGCACCCCTACCCAAGCCTGTAGCCTTTATGATCCAGGATTGTGCTTAGCAAGTTTCATTCTTACTTTTAAACAAGGTAAATTTTTTCCCTTATTTTCAGTACTAGCTGATCAAACCTCTTAAGCTGTTCCAGGAATGTGGTATTGGTGCTTCTACTGTTGCTTCATTAAATGATGCTATTTGTACCATTATGGGTAATTTCTATGTTTAAGAGCAGAGATGGTTATAGAAGATCAGCAGGGGAGGAAAATTCAACTGATTGGTCTGAGATGAGAGGCATACCAGAGACAGAAAGCATAATGGCTTTCCCAGAAATTGGAAATAGCTAAAATTTTCAGTGTTCTTTCTCTTTTTATATCTCTTTCCCATTGAATTATCATCCTCTCTTGTTACCCTTGTGTCTCTCCTTCTCTCTAGACAATACTCATAATCTGGTTTTTATGCTTTACCCTACATGTAAATCTACACAGCTCATATGGTACTACAAAAAAGCCAGGAAAACAAAATTCTGTGAAATCTGCTCTTTATGTTGGTGCGTAGACCATGCATTGTAAAATACCTATATTTTATAAATAGTAATACTATGGTAAGATTTGATTGACAAAGAATCAATTATCACATTTTTCAGGAAAAGTCATATAATAATTGATTCTTTGTCAATCAAATGAATTCACTGGAGAACTTAATTTAAGGAACTCAGGTAAATATGGTCATAGGGAAGACTCCTTCTATAAAGTGAATATTCTATCCATCCAAAATCCCTGTATCTATCAATCTGGTAACTGACACATCTTTTATTTCCTGAGATTTCTTAAATTGGAGCACACCTATACTTGATCTTTAAGATAGTGCTGATATCCGTATTAGAACACATTAACTTTCTTTTCCTCACTGCTGGGTGTAATGATCTAGGCAAGGAAACATGAGCTTACAAGTCCTAGCTTGTGTCATTATAGCTTATGGCTGGTTAACAGATTATATAATCAGATGTTTCCATGCCTAATATCCAAACCTTGTTATGAGATCCTCTGTGGGCTCCTTTTTGTAACACCCCATTCACTACTTCTGTGGCCCAGTTCATGTAGCTGTCAAATGCAGAGCTCTCTTGTGAGAACTGACTCAACAGCTTTTACAGATCAAGTTGGTGTGTTCCCAACTCCATTGTCTCCTCTATCAAAGAAGGAGACTGGAAAAAACAGAAATCCTTCTGCTACTTGACCTCATAGTTATATCCAGCAAGTCCTCTTGGAGACTTACATGTTCTAATGATAGAAACTGGAGTAGAAACCAGGAGACCTAGATCCCTGCTTCAGTTTTTCATCTTACCCAAAACTCCCCAACCTTACCTGTCTCCTTCAGAGGAATGTTATCATGATAAGTTTAAAGATACTTATTAAAAATCCAAAGTATTAACTATTATAATTATCCAACTTACATTTTTTCTTTCATTAAGCCCCCAATTCTAATCTAATACATATAGCTAAATAAATAAGCTTTGTGCACATCTGCTTCTCTCCACATAAAATATGCATGCACACAAAATATATGCACCTGATTGTGGGAAATCAGGAATTAGTCCCACATAATGGGTTTTCTTTTAACCATCCACTTGACATTCATAGTCCACTTTAAGGGCTCTGTGCCTAGAGTTGGCAGCTCTAGGAACAGTGAGATCAGTTTGTCTACAGTTGTTCCCAACCTTTTTTGGCTCTGGTACACCTACACTTGCTTCCAAAAATATACCCCACAGTCTGGTGCTCAATGGAATGAAAATCTTTCCTGAGCTAATAGGATATAAAACAGAAGAGGCAGTGGACATAGTTCTGCATTTTAGGATACTCATAACAACATAGTGAGCCAAACCAGTGGAAATGATGCAATTAACTCAGCACAGAGAGAAAGAAGGTTTGGGCTGTTTGTTCAAAACTGGAAAGATTTATCAACCTACATCTCCCAGATTGGCCTCCCTTATGACTTAGGATATGCTTTTGAAGAGATGGCTGGCTGAGGGAAATGGTGCAGCCAGTAGTAGCATTAGAGTAAGTGAAAACTAACTTGTTTGTACAAGGACTAAAATCATGATTTTGGCCTCACTAGCCCTGTATTCTAACTGCCTGAGCAAACTAGCTACAGATATTACCTGAAAGAAGACCAACTTTTAATCAGAAACAAAAATGTATTCAGTATATGGCACACATAAGTCGCTCAGTCTCAATGACCTGTATCTAACGTTGAGCCTATTCCAAAGTTGCCATCTAATGAGGAGGAAAGATCCTTTATTTATCTGAACAGTTCTAAAAGTTCCATACTTTGTACTATTACACCCAATAATTTAACTTCATGTGAATGGCTTCAATTCCAACTATTCATACATTTCCTGCAATTAGTATGCTTTTCTGAGAACTTTTTAGTAAATACTGCTATTGTTTATTATTAAGCCTTGAACAGTAAGCGGAAATCTGAACTTAATTGGTGTACCTTCTTTATGGATATATATCCCTCTTATAGTAAAGCCACAGATAGGGATTCCTGGTCAAGGCATTAATAAGAGCTTAAGGACCTTCAAGATGTCTCCCAGAGGAAGCTATCATAATCTCTTACAGATAATTTGTTAGTTGTCTGGAATAAAGTCCATAGTTACCAGTTGACTTGATCCACCTTATATGCTTTATTATTAATGTTATATTAAAGTACATCAGGCAAGACTAGTGATTTAAAGTCCTCTCAATTTAAGCCTTACCTCTGCTCCTAGTTTCCAGAAGAGTTTAAAGAGCCAGTTTTACTAAATTCCAAAGACAGTACATGAAAGGCATTGAAACTAATGATTATCAGAAGAAAAATTCACTGAATTCTAGCAAAGACCAGTGAGGAAGTGAATGCAGCTTACTAGCATTCCAACTAAATTTAGTAGTATCAGTTGTATAAGAATCTGAGTGGGTAGTTGGATTAAATATTTGAAAATATGCTGAAAAAAAGATGAGTTTTATCTAGGTTATAATACAGTTATATTAAAGATAAATAGGGTTAGAAAATCATATTAAAGTAAAGCTGTGGAACAACATGAGGCTCTATCCAACTTATTCCTTTTATTCCTTTCTCTTAGCCCTTGGTTGTTTTGTTGTTGTTGTTTGTTTGTTTTCTTGAGATGAAGTCTCGCTCTCTCACCAAGGTTGGAGTGCAGTGGCGCCATCTCAGCTCACTGCAACCTCCACCTCCTGTGTTCAAGCAATTCTTGTGCCTCAACATCCAAGTAGCTGGGATTATAGGTGCACACCACCACTTCCAGCTATTTTTTGTATTTTTAGTAGAGATGGGGTTTCGCCATGTTGGCCAGGCTGGTCTTGAACTCCTGACCTCAGGTGATCCACCCACCTCAACCTCCCAAAGTGCTGGAATTACAGGCGTGAGCCACCGCTTTCAGCCCCTTGGTTCTTATATTTAAACACTAACACTGAAAAAGTAGGACTCTTCCTACAGTTAAGACATCAGAAAAAAATTGAAAGCAAAAGATAATTAGTTTTAGATATATACTTTGAG